CAGTTCACTGGCATTAGAGAATATTTCAAGCTCAGCATAACAAGTTTAACTTTTACTGCTCACTAAACGTGTAATTAAATTACGAAGTCTTCTAATCTGTTTTGAACTTAAATTATCTCTGGTTTTAACTTTTTTTTCACACATGACTCTTTCAGGATTGCAGGATGTGTGAAAACGGTTTACTGTGGCCATATGCTTGTTGGCACAGAACTCCAGGATGTTCCAGTAGGTTTGAAGCATGGGTGGTTGTGTGATGTGTGTTTTTTCTTTTACAGAAGCTGTGTTGATTCTTGCCTAGACTACTGTATCTGTTCTTGTTTCCACAGACTGTTCTGCAGAATCATTTCTAGTGGCTGCCTTGGGAAGGGATCAGGTTTGCAGGAGGGTATCTCCCCCAGATCTCTCCTTGATCCCTGCTTTGCTTCTAGCCTGTGCTGTTTTCTGGCGTCGTTAAGTCTAGCTAGCTTGAGACCTGCGGATTGAATCACCTTATTGTGAGTTTCCTGTCCTGGCTGGGTGTGTTCAGTACGAAGGGGATTGCTGTTACCTGTGGGAAGGACACAGCTAAGAAGTAATTTTCCCTTTATCAGCCTGATAGCTTCCTTGTTAGAAGCTCCTGGGTCAGCAGGCCTGCTCTACCATATCTCTACAGATATTAATGATAAATATGTTTAGGTCAGAGTGGAAAACTTCAGCGCTGTGGCTAGGAACCATGAGCTACCTGTACTGCGTATCCATAGGCACCGTGCTCCGTAGTGTATCGTATGTGTGACAGTGCAATAAACTGGGGAACACCCGCACTCTGGCTGGGCTTCTGCCTACCCTCTCTTTCATGGGAAGGTAGCTGCTTTAATTAACATCCTTTCCTAATTGACTTGTTTGATCTTTTCACAATCTGTTCCTGAATTTAGGGAGAGAACATCTACTGGGTTCCTTCCATCCACAAGCCAATTGCCTTTTTATTTTGCTGGTTTGCTCCATGCTGGTTCTCAGCGGTTTTTGCTTGAGCGGGTCCAAAGTCTGTTGTCTTCAATGCCTGAAGATTATCCATAGTTAGTATTTGAGATATGCCTGGTCCTTACTTTTCAGCAAGTGAGCTGCTACTGTTGCCTTAAAAGAATAGTGGAAACGTCTGCTGTCATCCCCTGTTCCGCTCTAAGGAGGGATTAAAATCTGGAAATAAAGGCACTTGTGCGGTTGACTTCAGGCTCTTCTATTTGCATGACATTTGCAAGGGAGCAAAGGAAAGGAAGGTCAGGCAGCTGCTGGTGATTAAAATAATCCCTGCAGAGTTCTCCCAAAACCTTGAGTTTCATCCACAGTAGTTGATTAGGCTTCTTACCTTGCTTTTCAAAATCCAGTGGTGTGAATTACGTTTTTTAGGATGTGATGAAATAAGACCAAACCAAGTCTGTTTTGTATGCGCAGCTGAAAGGGGCCCTGACTGAAGCTGACCCCACAATTGCACCCCAGGCATTGTGCTCTTCACTAGACGGTGATGCATGACACTGGTTCATGATATAGCTACAACTAGATAAGTATTGCTGGGAACCGGCATGATGACGGTCCCTTTCTGAAGCTAAAACACCAACGCCTTGTGCCTCCTTGAGCCTGGGTAGTGGTGGTGGGTCGCTCATTTGCTGTATAGTTTTGACCTAGTCTTATACTGCTGCTGAAGCAGAGAAAGGGGTGGCTGTCGTGGCTTGTTTCAGTGAGTTGAGATCGGGTGGATGAGAAAAGGCACTTTTAAACACAATGATGTTGACGGCCTCATAGTCTGGTGGTGATATGACTTCATACAGACCTTTGAATTGCTCCGTAGAGTTCACAATACTAATACAGTATGATCTGTCTCTCTTGTATGTGGTTGAATGGAAGGAAATGCTTTTTCTGTCCAGGTTTTCTTATAGCTGGTACGTGTTCTAAACTCTGCTTTTCCTGGGAGGTGGGAAGTGGTGTTCATACTCTGGAATGTGAGTGCTGGTGCGCGAAGGAGTTTGGAGAGCTTTTTAGAGAACTGTAAAGGGAGGCAATATATTCCCACCAAAGCTGCTAAACAGCAAAAGCTTCTGTGAGCCCAGAGGCACATGTACTTTCTGTAAAGTCTGTTTTTAATCCTTCAATTAGGAGATGTAAGAGGAGTCCTTCTCCCTCACTCATCAGTGGAATGTCCTCCTTTCCATCAGCTTCCCCTCCTAAAATGCCTTGGCTAGCATGTAGTGCTGGTCTGGGCTGCTCTCCTCCTTCCCCCTGCCCCCGGGGTCTCTGAGCATCTGTGTTCCTCAAGCTCGCCACATGGGAATGACACAATGCAGCTTTTCTTGCTGCTCAACTTCTCCTAGTGGTAATTTGAAACTTACCTTTTTTTCATGACTGTTACTACACAAGCATGTTGTTCTGAAACTGCTCTTGTTTAGAAGGTTGCTTGGGTGGATGTAGTGGATAGAGGGCCACAGGCTGTCTCCTTAGAAAGGCAGAACTGGTGTGGGTTGCGCTGGAGAGATTTTTCTTCCCCTTGCTCAAACTCAGCCCTTCAGTTTATCAGACACAAGATAAAAAGGATTATTTTTCTCCTTTTGCTTCCCTTAAATGGGGAGAAGCAGGTCAGCATTGCCACTGAACCCACCTCTCCTACACTTGCAATGGTAAGAGGGAAAAGGATCACAGCATTTAGCTAGCAGGTGGTCATCTTGTTCCACATTTAAAGGATTATTGGCTAGATCTTATGCTTTTGCATATTTAAGTACTGAACTGTGAATGTATGCAGTACTAAAGCTTAGTTAAGGTCCCATTTAACTTCCATTACTCTTCTCAGAAGAGCAAGGCATGATTTCTCAGAGCTGAGGTGAGCGCAGGAAGGCTCGGTTTTTCACTGTGCAGTATTTTAATGTCGTATATTTCAAGAAAAGCTTGTTTAAGCTTTCCAAGTCAGTGAGAACCAGTCTGTTATCTTCTTGGGCTCATCTTTCCAGAAAAACTGAGCTTTAATCTTTGCTGGATCTGAAGTACAGGTTACGAGGCTGGAGGATGCAAAAATAAATAAAGCAACCAAGAAGGCTTTTGGGAGAATGCTCTCTGGCCCTTACAAATCCTTCTGCTTGCAGATGTATTAGTAAGTCCTGTCCTCTAGAGGAGAATTACAGTGCTAGCCTATATATTTTTATAAAGCAACTGTCCTTGACTAAAAGACTGAGACAGCAACTTCAGTGGAGGGTGTTCTGACTCTCAGCTTTTGAAATTAGCTTAGTCTAAAACCTCTGTCTGTTGCTGAATGATTAGGATGGGTGCTGAAAATTAAGGAAAAACCACCTTGTAAGTCATGATAGTGTTGGTCTTAGAGGCTGCTTTAAAATAGTGTAATTTGGATGTCATCTTAGTTTTCAGTTGTGAGGATTGGTTCTGCAGTCTGAGGATAATGAGCAGGCATCTGCTAGCCTTTTCAAAAAAGTTGATATCCTAATTTTCAAATTTACGATTACTTTGGGAGATATGGTTTTGGATGGTGGCAGTCTGACCCAACTGCAATTAATTACCGTGATCCTTCAGGTACCATTTTGTTTTTTTATGTTCTAAGTAGAGAGGTAATTTCTGCCACTTCCTGCTCTACAAAATAAAAGTGCTTTTGTTAGTAATGCCTGTAATTAAGGACTTGGAAATGTTTCCCATGCTCTCTTTTTCCCCATAAACTTGTGTTTGTGCTCTCTGAAGCAGCAGTGGTGCAAGTGTTGGCGTAACACGTCATGCAGTGGCAAACACTTGCACTGAAAAACTCCTTGGGATGTAGGCTGCTTGCTTCCAACACTGATGAAATGCTGGTTCTTCTTACGTCAAATATCTGAGGTCTGACATGTTAGTGTCAATGATATATTTAAGCTTTGAGTGGTTTTGAGTGTCTGTGGCTCTTAGAGCATATGTCTGGCATCTTAAATATCAGTGGAAGCAGAGACTTTGTGAGTCAGGGTTGATTTTTCTGTGGTTTTGATGGACAGGTGATTTTGTCCTGCATTTGTGCTGTTTTGCTATGGGGATGTGATACGGATTTGTATGATTAACTTTTTTCAAGGAGTTCTCCATTGTGAGAGCTACTCAGGCTGGCAGGAGGACCATCCCTGAAAACGTTCAAGGTCAGGTTGGACGGGGCTCTGAGCAACTTGATCTAGTTGAAGACGTCCCTGCCCGCAGCAGGGGGGGTTGGACTAGATGACCTTTAGAGGTCCCTTCCAACCCAAACCATTCTATGATTCTATGAGGACAGGATGGTTTGCAGCCAGAGTTCTTTCCAAAGCGGCTCCTTGTGGAGCATGGGTGTTTCTCTCGACCACACTAACTGGTCTGGTGGAGGCTGTGCGTTAGGACTTGTCAGTTGGATTGTCATGAGGACATAGCAGTATCTTCATTACTATAAAGAATATAGCAAATATTTTGAAATGATGTATGAATACTGGATGTTACCAGTTTCTCGTGGTTGAAGGTGTAAATCTCAGGGCTGCTTTGGACCGGCCCCTTTATGTACAGCTGAAAGAAAAGACGTTGCTTCGCAAACGGGGAATATAAACACTTCGATCTGGGGGAGGGAGGAGAGTCCTACCTTTCTCCTTCAGTTGTATGCATGAAGCTTACTTTTCTTTAAAACTTTACTACCACATCTTTGTTTTCCCACAGATGCTTTTTTGCCTTCTTAGTTTGGGCAATTGGGCCAAGCACAAGCACATTCATTATGTTTTTGCAGCGTCTACATAAATGCTGCTACTCTTGTGCCATGTATGTTCTGTCGAGTTAAGACAGCATTGTGTCTAAAGTACCTCTTATTTCAATCTTTTTGGTACTTAGAGATCATCACTCTTATTATGCAGGTTTTAAAATTTCCTGTTGCTTATGTCAAATTGTTTCTTACAATGAAAACGAGTTGACAGTAGGTTAGTTTCTATAAGTTTATACTCTTCTGTATGTTAAATGCATCACATCAGTAGTGAACTGACGCTCCTTTTTTCTCTTTTCAGCCAGATAATGAAATCTCTTCAGACTGCAATCACGTAAGTATTGCTTTGTTTTATTCAGTCTCTAGCTATGGCATTTGCATCTTATATCCCTTATCAACCTTAGGTATTTTGCATGGTTTGGTAGTTGGCAAAAGGCATTAATCAGGACACATTTGGGTTTCTGTACCAGCCTGTGGAGGAAGAACACAAGGCGACTTCTTTAACCCAGTATAGCCACTACGGTCTTACTGGAGACTTCAGAGCGGAACATACCTAAGAGCTTTATAAACTGTACTTCTGTATCAGAGGAGGATGGCAGACGTCTTTCCTAGTTTATAGTTGGGGGGTGGTTCCTGTGAGTTACTGGGAGCAACATGATGTGCTCCTTTTGGGAAAGATGTGAGCAGTACTGAATTTAAACTCTTAATTTCAGCTGTTGAAGCCTTCTGTATTACTTTCACAGCTGCTAAATTCGTAGACTCGCTTGGAAGATGCTGTGGGGGTGTGATATTTAGAGGCAGTTTGAACCACTTGGCTGGTTTTAGAACAGATTTCCTCTCAGCACTGTGTTTAACAGTGAGCAAACTGTTAGCCAGTTTTCAGGCTGTCAAGCTGACTCTTCAAATCCCGAGACTCTAAAAAAAAATAAAAATCATCACAGCTAAGGTTAGTGTTAGGTTTCCTTTTGCTTTTCTCATTTGCATTCTGTTAGAACACGCCATATCAAGATTCTGCATTGATTAGCCCTGGACGCAGACAGACAAGTGCATGCCTCAATGATGGTCTTGGTTTCAGATGCTTGAGAAGCTGCATTTTGGTTTATTATTGGAAGATATATTCCAGAAATGAAACCTGGCCCTGCTGTACAACTAGTAGTTTCCAACTGTGTTTATAAATTAACCTTTAGCACTGCGCTGCCTGACTTCATGGCAGCTGTAATTCTCTGTTGTGCAGGGTTGGATCAGACGAAGGGCACATCATGTTTCTGTTTAAGTCTTTTTTCTTTTTTTGAAAAAGAGAAAACTTCAGTAATTAAAACATACCTACCTGACATTTAAATGTGCCAACAGAAATTACCTGGATGAAGAAGAAATTGAGAATTCTAGAAATCAAAGTTGGACCTTTCCTCTGCTGGATTAAATGACAGATGTCATGCTGCTATGGATTATAGAAGCCATTCAGGAATAGGAAGTGTGGGCAAAGTCTCATTTTCCCAGGCAGAAATTGAAGGGGAGTGATCAAAAGCTAGACCACAGAGATGCGTCTCATGTCCAAATCACAGAATGGTTTGGATTGGAAGGGACCTTAAGGATCATCTAGTTCCAACGCCCCTGCCATGGGCAGGGATACTTTCCATTAGATCAGGTTGCTCAAAGACCCCTCCAATCTGGCCTTGAACAGTTCCACGGAGGGGGCATCCACAACTTCTCTGGGCAACCTGT